TCAGCGCAGAGCCACCTTCATATTCTCTGTCCCCCTCTCTCACTGCCCCTCCCCCATCTCAAAACTAAACATTAAAAAAAACTTTAAAAATTATAAAAGTTGACCCCAGCACTTAGCACAGCACCTTGCATAGACTAGATGGATTGCTGTCCCAAGCTGGTGAGAGACATTTAGGTACAGTACATTTTCCCTGGGTCAAAATTCAGTCTGCAGGACTCTCAGCGGCCTGTAGAGTTCAATTCTGTCAAGATCAAATGCCTTAATTTCTACATTTACATTCTCCTCTCCAACCATCAAGTCCCAGAAAGCCCAGAAAGGCTGTCGGTATGGGGGAGGAGAAAACACTTGAAAATTCTTCCACCATCAGGGACTTGCTCCTTCGGGTGGCATTATGGGGGAGGGGGTGCCATGGGAAAGGGAGAGAAAAGAGGAGAAAAGCAAGGAGGGTCTCATTAAAAAGAAATGGGAGCATGACTCTTTCATAATTTTGCCCAGAATTTTGATTTTGAGGCATAAAAGATAAAATATTTAATAGCAAAATATGACTGTAGAGTGATTTAGCAGCACAGCTGTGGTAGGCAGAACAATGGCCCCTCAAAGAAGTCCTTGTCCTAATCCCTGGGACCCGTGCATCTGTCATCTCTCACAGCGCAACAGATTTTGAGGCTATGATTAAGATAAAGATCTCAAAATGGAGGAGATCATCCTGGATTATCCAGTTGACTGCAATGAAATCACAAGGGTTTTTGCAAGTGAAAGAGGGAGAGTCAGCGTTGGAGAGAGAGAGATGTTGCTGGTTTTGAAATTGGAGAAAGGGGCCAGTAACCAAGACATGCAGGCAGCCGCTAGAAAGGATGGATGACACAAGAGAATAGATCTTCCCCCAAAACCAAGGAGCACAGCCTGCTGATGTATTGATTTTAGTTCAGTGAGCACCAGGTCAGACTTCTAACCCACAGACTGTTGGATAATAAATGTGCATTAAAATTTTTTTTAATGTTTATTTTTATTTTTGAGAAAGAGAGAGACAGAGTGCAAGCAGGGGAAGGGCAGAGAGAGAGAGAGAGAAGGAGACACAGAATCCGAAGCAGGCTCTAGGCTCCCAGCTGTCAGCACAGAGCCTGACGCAGGGATTGAACTCAAGAACCATGAGATCATGACCTGAGCTGAAGTCTGACGCTTAACCAACTGAGCCACCCAGGTGCCCCTAAATGTTCATTTTTTTTTTCTAGGAGAGAGAGAGAGAGAGAGACAGTGTGAACAGGGGAGGGTCAGAGAGAGAGGGAGTCACAGACTGAAACGGGCTCCAGGCTCTGAGCTGGCAGTCAGCACAGAGCCCAACGCGGGGCTCGAACCCACGAACCGCGAGATCATGACCTAAGCAAAAGTCGAAAGTCGGACGCTTAACCGAATAAGCCACCCAGGCGCCCCTAAATGTGCATTTTTTAAAGCAACCAAGATCATGGTAATTTGTTATAGCCATCAGAAATGAACACAGTAACAAATGCAATATATGGAGCATTTTGTGAGAAGATCTAAGTGGGCTGCTCCAGGGACGGTTTCCCCATACAAATGGAATAAAGTGAGCAGAAATTTCCAGGCAAAGAGGAGAGGAAAGAACATTCTGATCTGTGGGTGAGGGTGTGTGTGTGTGTGTAGGGGCAGAATTGAAATGACATGGTGGGATTTGCATTTTAAAACATATTATATATATAATCTCATTTTAGCAAATAACCCCCGAACAGGGACAAACACCAGTGATTTCAAATATGAGCCCTAATCTCAATGCCACGAGGCACTGGCTCTGAATGTGGCTGCTTGATTTACAGTCACCCTCTTTTAACCCAGACAACAATTTGTCATGTGCTCCCGGAGACAAGCCGGCATCTGGTACTTTCTTTTTCCTCCTAAATCCTTCCATTTTGGTGAATGTCCTACACAGGGTCCTAATATTTATTCAGCGAGGGTGGTTTGAGGTGCTTTAGTCCCTATACAGTCAAACTAATCCAAGCCATAATACTAATGCTAAAATACCAATACTTTTTTAAAATGTGCATAAGCGTAGGTAAAATGTGAAGAAAAGCAACCTTAGAAAATGTGGCTACGTAAAGTGATTTATGTATATTCTGTCATAAAACTAGCAATCAAATGCTATAGGTGTAAGAGAAATCCATAAACATTGAGCCCCCTTTCCTCAATTCCCATCCTGTAAGACACACCGCAGGCTTTACATTTAAGGACGGTTTATGGATTCCCCTTGAGCAGCGCTATGTAGTTTACTAATATTTTATAGCTCCACATTCTCGTTACTCCCAAGTGCATCCCTGCTCTCCTACCCACAGAGTTATTAAAATTATTTAGGTAATAGTACATTTGCAGAACAATGAAATGCAGTCAGTACTCGATACTGATTAGAATTATTACTTTCAGCGATGGCTGGGTGGCTCGATCGGTTAAGTGTCTGACTTCTGGTCAGGTCCTGATCTCACGGTTCATAAGTTCAAGCCCTGACTCAGGCTCTGTACTGACAGCTCAGAGCCTGAATCTTGCTTCAGATTCTGTGTCTCCCTTTCTCTCTGCCCCTCCCCTGCTCACACTCTGTCTCTCTCTCTCAAAAATGAATAAACATTGAAAAAAAAAAGAATTATTACTCTCAGTTAAAGTTCCCTGTCTCCCTCCAGGAAAGAGCACAGATATCTCGCCTTCACTACTGGTCTTCTCAATTTCTTTGGCCTACGGTAGGACTTACATACAATATGGAAAACATTTAGTTTTCCAAAATGGAAACACACCTCTGTAGTATTCTTTTTAGTAACTTTGTCAAAAATGCGTTAAAAGTAGAAAATCTCTTCACTCCATGGTGCTGGGTTACTCACTGGCCTATCCATCCCATGCTTTCCTGGCAAACCCGAAACAAATGGGGTAGATTCTTCTCTCCAAGGAAAGTTAAAGGCTGAAAGACAGGTGAAGGTCACAGAAGCCAGGGCGGCATCAAATGCTGGGCAAGATTCCAGCTCAGAAGGAGGAAATGTCGTGTTTATGGGACCAGCTTGCAAATGCAAACATGGGCAATCTAAAGCAATATAACAAAGGATCTTTGACAGCTGGATTTCTTCAATGTTTAAAGCAGTTGTAAACACCCATGGCTAACTTTGGTACATGGTTTGTCTGTGAATGTACATATATCTATTTATTTTTTTTTAATGTTTTATTTATTTCTGAGTGAGTGAGTGAGAGAGTGAGAGAGAGAGAGAGAGAGAGACAGCACGAACAGGGGAGGGTCAGAGATAGAGGGAGACACAGAATCCGAAGCAGGCTCCAGGAGCTGAGCTGTCAGCACAGAGCCTGACGCGGGGCTCGAACCCTCGAACCGTGAGATCATGACCTGAGCTGAAGTCGGACGCTTAACCGACTGAGCCACCCAGGCGCCCCTACATATATCTATTTAATAGAAGCACAAGGATTAGTTAACCAAAATTTACCTAAAGAAACCTCAACTTTAACTTCTCCAGTTGGGTCCCAATCTACAAGTTCATCTGTTAGGAAACAAACAGACAAACAAACACAAAAGGCATTTCTTTTCCCTTTCTTTTACCATACTGGAAACCAGTAATGATTGGATTCCCACGAGGATTCAGAAAAGCCTGTAGATATTACAGGGTTGGGGCTTCGGTTTTCTACATTTGTTCAATGTGAGAGGGGCAGAGCCAATCATTAGTGGGGTTTTTATCCCCAGCCCTAAACGTTTATGAACTTTTAAAGGGACACAGGAGCCAATCTGAAAGAGCTCCCAGTATTCAAAGCTGGAACAATTTGATCGACATAATAAATAAGGTAGTATTGAATTATAGCTCACAGTAGAAAATGAACATACATGAGTCCATGCTGATATAAACATATGATTGAATAGATTAATAAATGGGACAGGAGGAATAAATCCTCCTTAGAGAACAATCCCAATAATATATGTAGATAGCTCTCCCATCTCCTAGGTGGAGTTTGATTCCCCCACCCTCCTCTCCTGATAGGGGCTGAACTTAGTGACTCCCATCCAAAGAAAAGAGTATGGAAAAAGAAACACCGTAACTGCAGTGGAGAAAGCTGGCAGACACTAATTTAACCAAGTGATAAATGTTAACATCACCAGTAGCAAATCACTTGCTACGGCTGTACCCTGACAGAATGCGCTGAGGAGAAAGGCACTTTCCCACTGTGGTCTTCCTCCACCACACCCATAACCACAGTTTAATCATAAAGAAAACATCAGAAAACGAAATGAGAGATATCCACAATATAGCTTAGCCGAGTTCTTTAAAACCGTCAAGAAAAACAAGCCTCAGAAACTGTTAACACACCGAAAGAGATTAAAGAGACAAGACGCTAAATGCAGTGTGCGACCTGGACAGGGGATCCAGAAACAGAAAGATATAAGCGGAACACTACCCAAATCTGTATAAGGTTGAGTTTAGTTCATAGTAACGGACCAATGTTAATTTCACAGTTTTGACAAATGTACCGTGTGCACGTGTAACATACACACACGTGGGCTGTGAATATCAGGGGGCACTGGCTGAGGGCTCCGGGGAACTCTGTCCTAGCTCTGCAACTTTTTCTTAACTCCAAACTTACTCCAAAATGAAGTTTTACTATAAACCACAAAGACAAAAGTTTGTGAACTGAGAGAGCAAACAGAACCGTCCTCAAAAGCGGTAGCCTTATCGATACCCCCTTTATATCACTCTACAGAGAGGCGTGCGTCTCCGGGACCGGGGTGGGGGGTGGGGGGTGGGGGTGCGGGGAGCGCACCCCGGGGTGAGCCTAGCAGGGCCAGTGCGCCCGGGGCGCGGCGGGAGCCCAGGCTCCTCCCCGGAGCCTCCCCGGCGCCGGACTCTGCCCCGGGCGCGCCCTGCGGGGCGGAGCCCAATCCAGGCGCCGCGGAGCCACCCAGGCCGGAGGCGGGAGAGCAGCGCGGGGACCCCGCCCTCGCTCCGCGCGCTCCTGGGGAGGCAGCCCCGGCGGTCGGCGATCTCAGCCCCTGCGGCGCGCTCCGGGTCACACCCCCAAGCCCCCCAGGTGAGTGGGCGTCCGGGCCCTCGGAGCAGCTCGGTGCACCGAGAGCGTAACAGGTTCTTGGGGAGGAGAATGTTCCTTTCGGTAAACCTCTGTGTGTTCTGGGTTCTGATTCCCTGAGCGAGAAGTTTCTGCCCTGGAAGAGAAAGAGTTGCATTTTTTCCTCCGGAGAAAGAATAACCCTCCTTAGTCCGACGCACACCTGGTTATTTATTTACGTTAGCGTTTTGCCATCCTTTGCCCGGGGTCTCCACGGTTGAGAGCACCGGAAGGCTTGCTGTCTACCTGGAAGCCCGCGCGGCAGCTTTGGCCACCTGGGCCCGCGGATGAATGAATAAACGTGGTTGTCTTACCCTGCGTTCGTTCGTGCTGGCTTCTGCAGCCGCAGGTCTAGCAAAAGAACTGCCCACTGGTTGACAGTTTGCTGCTGTCGTGGGATTGTAGCGCTAGGCGGTTGTGCAAAGGAGCAGTATTATCTTACTGAAGAACAGTACAGCATAGTGTAAAGGTAGTTATTAGATTGGGTGACGACCTGGCTGTAAGCTCCCCAGCCTTCTTCAAAAGAGAGGGAATACACACATGTACAGATCAGAAGAAGCCTTGAGCCCCAAACATAACTGAGCTGTGTCTGCGTACCCTTATACCGTCATGATTTTAGGAATCAAAACTTTCTTTACTTTCTTGCTATCGACAGACTAGATGGAGCATCAAAGGGAATTATTCTGCATTTGCAATAGGGAACAGATAATCTTCCTTTTGAGTTTACCTAATGCTATTAAATATTCAGTTCTGCAGAAGTCTGGTTTTTCAGAAATATGATCTGAGCCAGAGTCTCGGGTGCCCTGGCAGACACAATTGGTGCTTTTGTTTCCGGTTACTGGCCTGTCTCCCGCCCTCACAACCCCAACACTGAGAGTTGGAGAGTGAAGGTCCCTGACACGGAGGAATTTGTGCCCAAGGCGAGAAATACCCCTGTGGCTCTTCAGCTACTTACAGAAAGAATGAAAACAGCTTTCACTTCTGAGACCCTGGCAAATTTCATAAGGTTCCTGGCTTTCTGATTTGCTAAATAAATTCGGTAGCTAAACCTGCACTAACTAAAAAGAGACTTTTGAAATAAATACCGATTCACCTTTATGATTTTGTGAATCAATAACAGTCATGTTATGTGTTAGCTGATTGATTTTTACAACATGCTGGACAGTGGGCCTGAGTTGCAAATTCCAATCCAAATTCTGGCTGAAGCTGAAAAATTAGGTGTATATTTATTTGTTTGGAATAATGACTGAAAAAGGAAAGAACGGAAGGTTTTGAAGGGAATCTAGAAGTATTTTAAAGGAGTGGTTTCAAATCTTTTGAACTGATATATATAATATAATAAATACATAAAAATTATAGGCCATTTATCAACAGAATTCATAATCGCAAAACATTATTATCAGTTTAATAACATGTTTAAGTGAATTTGCATTTTAAGAAACATGTAAACAGTCATCTACATGGGTTTGTAGAAAACAAAAGCATGAGTGTGCGCACGTTCAGTTTTAGACAATATTTGGTATGTGTGTGCATTTGTGGACCTCATGCATTTGTTAAGCACCTGTTGAGCAGGCCACCTTGTTCGGAGTTCAAGTCAGGAGGGGCAGGTGGATACAGCTTTGTGTAAATAAGTCACATTCCTGTCCTCATGGAATTTACACAATGCTGGAGTCCTCCAGGACACTGTAAGATCATAGATAAGAACTATATCAATGATCATCCATCAGTTTTGACAGCCACTGAAACTAGATTATCTTCAAATCACACTCTCCGATTTCAATAGTCAACTCTCAAAATTGTAAAAGAACTTATATTTTATTCAAGTCAGTGTTTTTCTCTTTTGCTTAGGTTGAGGAAGAACTTAGGAATATTAATAAAAAATGAGATATTAAAGCGTGAAATAGCTAAATAACAATTTCATGCCAGTTAAATAAAAACCAAACTTACGCAGTGGATGCCAACAATTTAGCATATAAATCGATGAATGAAAAACTTCAAATTGAGAAACTTCTATCTGATTGTTTTTTTCCCAGAAATTAGAAAAATATGACTACAATTATATTTTATCCCAGAGGAAAAGACTTATTTTATCCAAGGTATTTTTGCTTGTTGTTGCTGCTGCTGTTTTTAAAAAACGTCTTATTGGAGGTATACTTTACATACTGTAAAATATATCCAAGTGTGTAATCCGATGATTTTTAGTAAATTTATGGACTTGTGCAACCATCACTGCAATCTAATTTTAGAGCATTCTCATTATCCCTAAAAGACTCCACCTACCTGTTCGTTATGACGATCCTTGACCCCACCCCCAGACAATCACTGATCTACTTTCTCTCTTTTGAGCTGACTTTTTGGACATTTCACACAAATGGGACCATACAATATATAGTTTTTCGCATCTGGTTTTCTTCACCTTGAACAGTGGTTTTGAGGTTCATACATGAGGTGTAACATGTATCAGTAGTTCGTTACTTTTTATTGCTAACTAATATTAATTCCGTGGTACGGTCAGTCCACATTTTGTTCACCAGTGGGTAGATATTTCTGCATTTACCTTTAAGTGGTAAGACAGATATTGTGGTCCAGTCTCCATGATAGCATAATGTGAAATAATTGATAGGATCCAACCTCTTATCTAAATTTATGAAAAATATATTCATGGTATGGATCACCAGTAGTTTCTGTGTGTGACATAACTGTGATCTTTCTGTGATACTCCCACAAAAAGAGCAAATTGTAAACCCTGGGTGAATAAGAGAAAGCATCAATCATTTGGTATCCTAGGTCGGACTCAGAAGATGTTTCACTCTTTTTTTAAAAAAAATTTTAATGTTTATTTTATTTTTGAGAGAGAGAGAGAGAGACAGAGAGTGGCCCGGGGATAGGGGTGCAGAGGGAGAGGGAGACACAGAATCTGAAGCAAGCTCCAGGCACTGAGCTGTCAGCACAGAACCCAATGGGGGGCTTGAGCCACGAACTGCGAGATCACGACCTGAGCCAAAGTGGGACGCTGGTCCCCCCAGGGGCACTGAAGATGTTTCACTCTTGACATTGATAATTTGCAGAGACTACATCTCCTCTGCTACTTGTTCTTCACAAATGATGCATTTAGAGTAGGTGAATTTTGATGCTTGTTTTACCTAACAGTGATAACTGAAGTACTCTCAAAAGCCTGAGTGCTTCCTAATAACATATTTTAGTGGCAGACTTAACATAAAGTATATCAGAAATTTCTTACACTGCAAAAGCATTGACCTCTGGTTTCCCTCTCTTAGGAATCCAGAACTTTGAACAGCAAGCAGATCGGTCAGAGCAGTTCTCTTGTGCACCCCCACTCACCCTGCTTATGCAGGCAATGCATTCTCAGCAGGTTACGGTTGGCAATTTATGCTTAAAGATCCTGTTAGAAGGATTTCTCCGGTTGAGTAGCAACCCTTCTATACAAAGTTAGCAGATTCTGTGAAACTAAAGAGAAGACAGTATGTCTCGTCATGCCTGGAAGCTACTGCTGAAGTTACACTTTCCTATTGGGGAAAAAAGAGCATTAATATAATTTAAAGGTCTATTTTATTGACAACCTAGAATGCAAAGGATTTTATTTTTAAAAGTCTAAAATTTGAAATCAAGATACTTTAGATTAAATAAGGTAGTTTTCCAAAGCTGAATGTGCTGAATGGAACTTTTTTTTTTTTTTCTGCTTGAAATATCAGAACAACTTGCTGAAATCCCTGGGTGGGAACACTGTAGTTTTGATGATTTGTGATTGGATGAATTAATCAGTCTCCACTGGCAATCTCTTTTTTTTTTTTTTAAACTTTGTAAGGTTCAAAAATTTGTAGAACAAGTGCACTTTTCTAGATTTCCACTGACAACGTCATTCCAAATGTCTCCTAAGACTCATATACCATTTATAAGAACCTGTCATCATTCTGCCCACTTTTATAGGCTCTGAAATTGGCGGGGACACATGTTCATCTTTTTAAATGTTTATTTACTTATTTTGAGAGAGAAAGAGAGAGCAATCAAGCAAACATAAGCAGGGGAGGGGCAGAGAGAGAGAGGGAAAGAGAGAATCCCAAGCAGGCTCCACACTGTCTGTGCAGAGCCCGACATGAGCTGTGGGATCATGACCTGAGCCAAAATCAAGAGTCAGATGCTTAACCAGTTGAGCCACCCAGACGCCCCAGTAGTTAATTCTTCTGTATTGATGAGTAAAATTCAACCCGTGTATGAATATTTGAATTTTTCCCAGTGTTTGGCAAGTAGAAACATTTGTGCTTTTTGGAACATACACCTTCATTTCACTTGGGTAGATATCTGGAAGTGAGATTGCTGGGTTGTACAGTGTGCGCATGACTTTATAAGAAGCAGCCTAAGTGTTGTCCAACATGGCTGCCCGTTTTGTAAAGCCATTGGCAACAGACAGGACTTCCAATGGCTCCACATCCTCATTCATATCCGAGATTTTCTGTCTTACCCTCCTCAGTGGATAGTTTTTTAAATGAAGTAAATTATGTTGAAGCCAAGCTATTCCAGGATGAGTTTCAGAAGCTAAAGATATTTTGCAGATTTCTGAGCCCTCTACTCATAAAACACTTTCTAAAGCCACAACAGAAATTTTCCAAAAGGGCACTTTCCTTGTAAATTTACAAGTGGCTAAGATACATATCATTAACGTGTGCCGCTTTTCATTTTCTCTTCACTGTCAACTCATAAGTGGCTTTTGAGTTATTAACTGAGGTCAAAACAGAAAGAATAGTTGACTGATTGGGGGTGGGTGGTGGAGGGTGGATAGTGAGGGGAGAGCCGAGCCTAGACATTGACACTTCCAAGTGATGTCCTATAATCAAATGTCCTCAATAAGCTGTGGTCCGAACCCACCGTTTTTTACACCAGGAAGCCATACTGCCTCTGTTCGTGGAATAAATCTACTGGGACATCTGCTCTTGTTTCGGAAGGAC